TATATATATATATTTGCACTATCAGTATATTATGATGGAGAACCAAAACACATGCCTTAAAGCGCAACTGTGGGAATGTGCCCTGAGGGTTCTGTTTATAAATTGTGACCAAAGATTCATACAAGTTTTATCCAAAAGTCACACATTTTTTGAACAGGATTCCACTGGAAATATTTATGAATCCTGGTCAAAAGTTGTAATTGTTGTGTGAAAAAATGTGTGAATAGACCTCTAAGGGTCTACTCACACCACAATGCACATGCATTCTTTGAGGCACGCTGCGACACACGGTGTTGGACAGTAAAACAGCAGAAAGGCCTCATGGCACACTCACAAAACCAGCATGTAAAACAACATGTCTCACTACTAAGGATAATGACAGAGGTTTGGATACACGTCTTCTGCTGAGGATGTACACACAAGGGATCCCGCACATCCTAATGGCAGCTGAGAAACCCCATGCGTCGCTGCACCAAATCGGTCAAGCAAAACAAAGATATCAAAGATATCAAATTGGGTGCAAGTTGGTCAGGAGGACGCCCAACCTGTCGTTTGTTTTGCTTGACCGATTTGGTGCAGCGACGCATGGGGTTTCTCAGCTGCCATTAGGATGTGCGGGATCCCTTGTGTGTTTCTGTACCTTTAAGGAGGTTGGGCGTCCTCCTGACAGGCCTGCACCCAATTTGATATCTTCTGCCCCCATGTGCTCCAAGATGGAGACTCTCATAGTTTAGAGTTAGGACCGCACTATAAGAGGTGCCTTGGCGCGGCAGTGCGGCTTACACATCCTCAGCAGAAGACGTGTATCCAAACCTCTGTCATTATCCTTAGTGGTGAGACAAGTTGTTTTACATGCTGGTTTGTGAGTGTGCCATGATGCCTTTCTGCTGTTTTACTGTTCAAAGCCCATTTCGTGTGCACCTTACTGTATAACTGGTAACAAATTGTTGAGTGCGTTTGTCGTTTGTTTTGCTTACACGGTGTTGGACATCCCATATAGAAATAATGGGCTGTAACACACTTCAGGTGTTCACAAAATTGATGCAATTCCCATTTTTTGTCACTCCAATGTGATGGTGTAAAAGGGCATTTAGGGTTGCACAGATACCAAGTACAGTACTCGCTACAAGTACGAGTACATCTACAGATACTTTTGAGCTCCAAGACTACACTAGAGAAAAATGCAAAAGTTAGGAGGCAGCTGTCATTTGTAAGGAGCACATGGAGCTCCTGGGATTAGTACATCTCTGTATTAATGTACAATTTTTAGTTTTTATAAATATAAATAAAGGAATGCACAGATACCAGTTTTGCGAGTACGGGTACTTGCCGAGTACTTACAAGTACGAGTACTGATACATTTTTGTTTATTGTCATGTGACAGTTTTTCTAAAACAATACAGACTAATGATTTCAGGACAGTGGTGGAGTGCCAGAGCCAGGTCCCAGCTGCAACCCCTGCCACTCTGGTAGTTCTCATGAAAATGCCAAATATCTGCACTGGTACTCGAAAAGTATCTGTGCATCCCTAGCATTTACCACAGCACAATGAAGTAAGCCAATGCTTACCTCAATTATCCTTTTTTTTTTTTAAACCCCCTTTTGGTGCGCAGATTTAGTGGACTATTTAGCTCAATATACCATTTCAACCCGAATGTACACGGCCTCCACGTACTAGTGCTGAGCTGGGGCTTGGTTAGTCCAAGCCCATACAAAATTTGACACTCCTCCCTCCTGAGCCAATCAGTGGCAACAGGGGAATTTGCCAGGGAAAGTCTAAGAGAAAAGGAAGTTTTATTGTATAAGGTCATACACACAGCTCCAAGTCCGAATGCTTAATTTTCAATGAATCCACACACAGCTCACATAATACAGGTATCTTTCATGTTTCAGCCAAGATCAGCCTTAATCATAGCCGACGCCATGTACGCGTGTTCCCTGTGGCTCCAGTGAATTTCTGAGGTTAAGCAAGTACTCATTTTATTTATAAATTTTACAGAAAATTAGATTGTGGGGGAAAGGCTCATGGGAAAGGAGATCTAGGGGAAGAAGTAAGATCTGGCAAAGATGCCATCGGAGTTCTGACACACGGAGAATGGAAGAAGAAGCCAGTCATCGATTAACATTGTTTTTAAGCAGTGCGAGATTCGGAGGACAGGCATGACAGCTGAGAACAGCATGGAGATAAGGTAATCAAATTGTCATGTTACTAAATGTAACCAAGCTTGTTTCCCCAAATAGATTGAATTAGCGTTGGCAGTCTTTTCGGATGTTGGAGAGGAGAAGGTCCACTTTGAAGAAGGAGAATTAGGGGAGGTAGAATAGCCCTGGCTTGGGATCAGGAAACAAAACTGCAGGCAAAGTGACATAGGGATCAGTGGTGACTGCATTTTAATGAATGAAAAGTAATCATTCCTTTTGTTAGCAGGGAAGCGTTTTCATTGCCGTTTTTGACCCCATTAGATCAATTACCCCTTATTTCCTCACTAGGACAAAAATTTGAATGGGCACTAAAAGTGTAAAGCATAGGCAAAAAAAAAACAAGAGTAAATAAAATGTCTTACTAACTTAAAACGATAATACAATGTCTGGCCAGAGTCCATGGCTTTATTCAAATTTGCATTATAGACAAGAAGAAGAATGTGTTAAAGGTTGACAGGTTTCAATTTTCTCTCTTTTATATATATAGTAGAGATCATGATTTAAGGAGTAGATGATTCATGTGCATTACTTCCTCTATAGACATTGTTTGCTCATTACTGAGCTTCTTAGGTTTGCTGTATTTCTTTGCTGTCATGAACTTCCAACTTCAGATCCTGTGACAGAAGAGAACGTGCATTAGATACTGGTAAGAGCTTAAAGTGTATCTACAGGCAATATTTTATTTGTATTTCAGATAGAATAAGGAAGGGAAAGAACATCTGTCAGTGTGGTTTTATTTATTATTTCTTTGCTGTTGTGTCACTGCTATGGAGATTCTCTATTTGTTCTGGTGACCTCCTGAGAGAAGGAATATCCAACCTTTTGAGTTGTCACTAGAACAATTATAGAGGGTGAATCTTCCAATGGGGACACTTGTTACAGTGACAACTCTCCCGAACAGAACACTGATGGGAAAAAAAACAGGACTTTAAACCCTTCACTGCTCTACCCAAAAGGAAAAAATTGGTTTACTCTTAACCTAAGTTTGTAGCGGTTAGGCTTGTGGGAGATTTACATGCCAACAGTTTGTAAAAATAGGATCAAATCTGAGCAAATATTTGTTTAATTTCCCAATTTATAGGGCATGGAACAAGTGGCAAATGTGTATGCTGACAATGCAGTGACATTGAGAGCAGTGATAATCTACAACAGGACTCATTCGGGAATGACTGATATACTCTATGATTTGCTATCTCAAAACAGTGAGCATTACTGAGACCCAAATGTTATATTCACTAGGAAACAAATCCATGGTATATATATATAAAAAAAAAAAGAAATCACACCTTAAGAGTGTATAGTCCTAAATACAAAAAGGAATACAAAAGTTAGCAAATATACACAAAATAATATGGTGATCTATTTCTTACCTAAACTGCAAGGGGCATTATATTCAACATGAGCCGCGACCTCTGCAGAAGAAAGACAATTGATTAAAAAATAAAATTATATATATATATATATATATATATACACATACATATATACTTTCATTACACTAAGGCCCCGTTCACATA